TTTCTAACTAATCTTTCATTCTTTCTTTTTTCAAACTAATCTTTCTTTCTTTCTTTTTTCAAACTAATCTTTCTTTCTTTTTCAAACTAATCTTTCTTTCTTTCTTTCTTTCTAACTAATCTTTCTTTCTTTCTAACTAATATATCTTTCATTCTTTCTAACTAATCTTTCTTTCTTTCTAACTAATCTTTCTTTCTTTCTAACTAATCTTTCTTTCTTTCTTTCTAAATAATCTTTTTTTCTTCCTTTCTAACTAATCTTTCTTTTTTCTTTCTTTCTTTCTAACTTATTTCTCTTTCCTTTTTCTTTTTAACTAATCTTTCTTTCTTTCTAACTAATCTTTCTTTCTTTGTTTTTTCTTTCTAACTAATCTTTCTTCTTTCTAACTAATCTTTATTTCTTTTTTCTTTTTCTTTCTAACTAATCTTTATTTCTTTTTTCTTTTTCTTTCTAACTAATCTTTCTTTCTTTCTAACTAATCTTTCTTTCTTTTTTCTTTTTCTTTCTAACTAATCTTTCTTTCTTTTTTCTTTTTCTTTCTAACTAATCTTTCTTTCTTTTTTCTTTTTCTTTCTAACTTATCTTTCTTTCTTTCTAACTAATCTTTCTTTCTTTTTTTCTTTTTAACTAATCTTTCTTTCTAACTTATCTCTCTTTCTTTCTTTCTAAATAATCTTTTTCTTTTTTCTTTTTATTTCTAACTAATCTTTCTCTCTTACTAATCTTTCTTTCTTTTTAACTAATCTTTCTTCATTTTTTATTTTTTTTCTAACTAATCTTTATTTATTTATTTCTATCTAATCTTTCTTTTTTCTTTATTTCTAACTAATCTATCTTTCCTTTTTCTTTTTAACTAATCTTTCTTTCTTTGTTTTTTCTTTCTAACTAATCTTTCTTTCTTTTTCTTTCTTTCTGACTAATCTTTCTTTTTCTTTCTTTCTTTCTGACTAATCTTTCTTTCTTTTTTCTTTCTTTATAACAAATTTTTCATTCTAACTAATCTTTCTTGCTTTATTTTTAACTAATCTTTCTTTCTCTCTAACTAATCTTTCTTTCTTTGTTTTTTCTTTCTAACTAATCTTTCTTTCTTTCTAACTAATCTTTCTTTCTTTTTTCTTTTTCTTTCTAACTAATCTTTCTTTCTTTTTTCTTTTTCTTTCTAACTAATCTTTCTTTCTTTCTAACTAATCTTTCTTTCTTTTTTCTTTTTCTTTCTAACTAATCTTTCTTTCTTTTTTCTTTTTCTTTCTAACTAATCTTTCTTTCTTTCTAACTAATCTTTCTTTCTTTTTTTCTTTTTAACTAATCTTTCTTTCTAACTAATCTCTCTTTCTTTCTTTCTAACTAATCTTTTTCTTTTTTCTTTTTATTTCTAACTAATCTTTCTCTCTTACTAATCTTTCTTTCTTTTTAACTAATCTTTCTTTATTTTTTATTTTTTTCTAACTAATCTTTCTTTCTTTCTTTCTATCTAATCTTTCTTTTTTCTTTCTTTCTAACTAATCTATCTTTCCTTTTTCTTTTTAACTAATCTTTCTTTCTTTGTTTTTTCTTTCTAACTAATCTTTCTTTCTTTTTCTTTCTTTCTGACTAATCTTTCTTTTTTTTCTTTCTTTCTGACTAATCTTTCTTTCTTTTTTCTTTCTTTATAACAAATTTTTCATTCTAACTAATCTTTCTTTCTTTATTTTGAACTAATCTTTCTTTCTTTCTAACTAATCTTTCTTTCTTTGTTTTTTCTTTCTAACTAATCTTTCTTTCTTTTTTCTTTCTTTCTGACTAATCTTTCTTTCTTTTTTCTTTCTTTCTGACTAATCTTTCTTTCTTTTTTCTTCCTTTCTTTCTAACTTATTTTTCTTTCTAACTAATCTTTCTTTCTTTATTTTTAACTAATCTTTCTTTTTTCTTTTTCTTTCTAATCTTTCTTTTTTCTTTTTAACTAATCTTTTTTTTTCTTTTTCTTTATAAATAATCTTTCTTTCTAATCTTTCTTTCTTTCTTTCTTACTAATCTTTCTTTCTATCTAATCTTTCTTTCTTTCTAACTAATCTTTCTTTCTTTCTCTCTATCTAATCTTTATTTATTTCTAACTAATCTTTATTTTTCTTTCTTTCTGACTTATTTCTTTAATTTTTCTTTCTTTCTAACTAATCTTTCTTTCTTTTTTCTTTCTAGCTAACATTTCTTTCTTTTTCTTTCTAACTAATCTTTCTTTCTTTCTTTCTTTCTAACTAAGTAATCTTTCTTTCTTTTTTCTTTTTTCAAACTAATCTTTCTTTCTTTTTCAAACGAATCTTTCTTTCTTTCTAACTAAGTAATCTTTCTTTCTTTTTTCTTTCTTTCTAACTAATCTTTTCTTTCTTTCTAACTAATCTTTCTTTCTTTTTTCAAACTAATATTTCTTTCTTTCTTTCTTTCTAACTAATCTACCTATCTTTCATTCTAACTAATCTTTCTTTCTTTCTAACTAATATATCTTTCATTCTTTCTAACTAATCTTTCTTTCTTTTTTCTTTTTAACTAATCTTTCTTTTTTCTTTTTCTTTCTAACTAATCTTTCTTTCTAACTAATATATCTATCTTTTTTTCTTTCTTTCTAACTAATCTATCTTCTTTCTTCAATTCTTTCTAACTAATCTTTCTTTCTTTCTTTCTTTCTTTTTAACTAATCTTTCTTTCTTTTTTCTTTTTTTCTAACTAATCTTTCTTTCTATCTATCTTTCTATCAATCTTTCTATCTTTCTTTCTTACTAATCTATCTTTCATTTTAATTAATCTCTTTCTTTCATTCTTTCTTTCTAACCAATCTTTCTTTCTTTCTTTCTTTCTATCGTTCTATCTTTCTTTCTTTCTTTCTAATTAACTAATCTTTCTTTCTTTCTTTTTCAAACTAATCTTTCTTTCTAACTAACTAACTAATCTTTCTTTCTTTTTTCTTTCTTTCTTTCTAACTATTTTTTCTTTCTCTTTCTTTCTTTTTTCAAACAAAGCTTTCTTTCTTTCTAACTAATCTTTTCTTTCTTTCTTTTTTCAAACTAACCTTTCTTTCTTTCTTTTTTCAAACTAATCTTTCTTTCTTTCTTTCTAACTAATCTACCTTTCTTTCTTTCTAACTAATATATATTTCATTCTTTCTAACTAATATATATTTCATTCTTTCTAACTAATCTTTCTTTCTTTCTAACTAATCTTTCTATCTAACTAATCTTTCTTTTTTATTTTTAACTAATCTTTCTAACTAATCTTTCTAACTTATCTATCTTTCTTTCTTTCTAACTAATATATCTATCTTTTTTTCTTTCTTTCTAACGTATCTATCTTTCTTTCTTTCTAACTAATCTATCTTCTTTCTTTCATTCTTTCTAACTAATCTTTCTTTCTTTTTAACTAATCTTTCTTTTTTTCTTTTTTTCTAACTAATCTTTCTTTCTTTCTTTCTTACTAATCTGTCTTTCTTTTTAATTAATCTCTTTCTTTCATTCTTTCTTTCTAACTAATCTTTCTTTCTTTCTTTCTTTCTTTCTTTCTTTCTTTCTTTCTTTCTAACTAATATTTCTTTCTTTCTCACTAATCTCTCTTTCTTACCTAATCTTTCTTTTCTTTCTATCTCATCTTTCTTTCTTTCTTACTAATCTTTCTTTCTATCTGTCTTTCTTTCTTTCTAACTAATCTTTCTTTCTTCTTTCTGTCTTCTTTCTAATCTTTCTTTTTTTCTTTCTTTCTAACTAATCTTTCTAATCTTTTTTTCTTTCTTTCTTTCTTTCTATCTATCGTTCTATCTTTCTTTCTAACTAATATGTCTTTCTTTCTAACTAATCTCTCTTTCTTTCTACTTAATCTTTCTATTCTTTCTACCTCATCTTTCTTTCTTTCTTACTAATCTTTCTTTCTATCTGTCTTTCTTTCTTTCTATCTGTGTTTCTTTCTAACTAATCTTTCTTTCTTCTTTCTAACTAATCTTTCTTTTTTCTTTCTAACTAATCTTTCTTTTTTTCTAACTAATCTCTCTTTCTTTCTACCTAATCTTTCTTTTCTTTCTATCTCATCTTTCTTTCTTTCTTACTAATCTTTCTTTCTATCTGTCTTTCTTTATTTCTTTCTAACTAATCTTTCTTTCTTCTTTCTGTCTTCTTTCTAATCTTTCTTTTTTTCTTTCTTTCTAACTAATCTTTCTAATCTTTTTCTTTCTTTCTTTCTTTCTTTCTTTCTTTCTTTCTTTCTTTCTTTCTTTCTTTCTTTCTTTCTTTCTTTCTTTCTTTCTATCTATCTATCGTTCTATCTTTCTTTCTTTCTAACTAATATGTCTTTCTTTCTAACTAATCTCTCTTTCTTTCTACTTAATCTTTTTATTCTTTCTACCTCATCTTTCTTTCTTTCTTACTAATCTTTCTTTCTATCTGTCTTTCTTTCTATCTGTCTTTCTTTCTTTCTAACTAATCTTTCTTTCTTCTTTCTAACTAATCTTTCTTTTTTCTTTCTTTCTAACTAATCTTTTTTTTTCTTCTAACTAATCTTTCTTCCTTCTTTCTTTCTAACTAATCTTTCTTTCTTTCTAACTAATCTTTCTTTCTTCTTTCTTTCTAACTAATCTTTCATTCTTTCTAACTAATCTTTCTTTCTTTCTAACTAATCCATCTATCAAACTTCAAACTACTATAAATTTCTTCAAACTCTCTGGTCCGGCTTTTTCAAGCCAACTTAAAGTTTGTCTAATCAAACTTTTTTTCTAGTTATTCTTCTTCTTACTCAGAAATTTCTATATCTAACTCCTCCTAGAGCTTTAACTCTACAAACTCCAAACTCGGGTCAGACCTTCAGACTGTTCTGACTTAGTGTGCCATATCTTTTCAGACTGATTTGACTTTCAGATTTCTTAAAAATTAATATTAAAAAACATAAAAATCCCATTGACTTTCATTGCAGCATGTTCAAATTGAGCCAAGACTACGGTGGCCCAGTAGTGTACTATCTATCTATCTATCTATCTATCTATCTATCTATCTATCTATCTATCTATCTATCTATCTATCTATCTATCTATCTATCTATCTATCTATCTTTCTTTCTTTCTTTCTTTCTTTCTTTCTTTCTTTCTTTCTTTCTTTCTTTCTAACTAATCTTTCTTTCTTTCTTTCTAACTAATCTTTCTTTCTTTCTTTCTAACTAATCCATATTTCTTTCTTTTTTTCTAACTAATCTTTCTTTCTTTCTAACAAATCTTTCTTTCTTTCTATCTAATTTTTCTTTCTTTCTTACTAATCTTTCTTTCTTTCTAACTAATCCATCTTTCTTTCTTTCAAACTAATCCATCTTTCTTTCTTTATTTCTTTCTTTCTTTCAAACTAATCCATCTTTCTTTCTTTTTCTTTCTTTCTTTCTTTCAAAATAATCCATCTTTGTTTCTTTTTCTTTCTTTCTTTCTTTTTTTTCTTTCTTTCTTTCTTTCTTTCTTTCTTTCTTTCTGTCTTTCTTTCTAACTAATCTTTCTTTCTTTCTTCCTTTCTTTCTTACTGATCTATCTTTCTCTCTCACTAATCTATCTTTTTGTCTAACTATTCTATCTTTCTTTCTTTCTAACTAATCCATCTTTCTTTCTAATCCATCTTTCTTTCTTACTTTCTTTCTTTCTTTCTTTCTTTCTAACTAATCTATCTTTCTTTCTTTCTAACTAATCTATCTTGCTTTCTTTCTTTCTGACTAATCCATCTTTCTTTCTTTCTGACTAATCCATGTTTCTTTCTAACTAATCTATCTTTCTTTCTTTCTAACTAATCTATCTTTCTTTCTTTCCTTCTTTCTGACTAATTCATCTGTCTTTCTTTATTTCTGACTAATTCATCTTTCTTTCTTTCTTTCTTTCTAACTTATCTATCTTTCTTTCTTACTGATCTATCTTTCTTTCTAACTAATCCATCTTTCTTTCTTTCTTTCTGACTAATTCATCTTTCTTTCTTTCTTTCTGACTAATCCATCTTTCTTTTTTTCTTTCTTTCTAACTAATCTTTCTAATCTTTTTTTCTTTCTTTCTTTCTTTCTTTCTTTCTTTCTTTCTTTCTTTCTTTCTTTCTTTCTTTCTTTCTTTCTTTCTTTCTTTCTATCTATCTATCGTTCTATCTTTCTTTCTTTCTAACTAATATTTCTTTCTTTCTAACTAATCTATCCATCTTTCTTTCTAACATCTTTCTTTCTTTCATGTTATCACTGTGAAGCGCTTTGATACAATCTGTATTGTAAAAAGCGCTATATAAATAAAGGTGACTTGACTTGACTTAATCCATCTTTCTTTCTTTTTTCTAACTAATCTATCTTTCTAAATTATTTTTCTTTCTTTCTAACTAACTAATCTTTCTTTCTTTCTTTCTTTCTTTCTTCTTAACTAGTCTATCTTTCTTTCTTCTTAACTAATCTTTCTTTCTTTCTAACAAATCCATCTTTCTTTTTAACTAATCCTTCTTTCTTTCTTTCTTTCTTTCTTTCTTTCTTTCTTTCTTTCTTTCTTTCTTTCTTTCTTTCTATCTATGTAATCTTTCTTTCTTTCTAACTAATCCATATTTCTTTCTTTCTAGCTTTTCTTTCTTTCTTTCTAACTAATCTTTCTTTCTTTCTACCAAATCTTTCTTTCTTTCTATCTAATCTTTCTTTCTTTCTTACTAATCTTTCTTTCTTTCAAACTAATCCATCTTTCTTTCTTTATTTCTTTCTTTTCTTCAAACTAATCCATCTTTCTTTCTTTTTCTTTCTTTCTTTCTTTCTTTCTTTCTTTCTTCCTAATCCTTCTTTCTTTCTTACAATCTATCTTTCTTTCTAACTAATCCTAATTCTTTCTTTCTAACTAATCTATCTTTCTTTCTTACAATCTATCTTTCTTTCTAACTAATGCATCTTTCTCTCTTTCTGACTAATTCATCTTTCTTTCTTTCTGACTAATTCATCTTTCTTTCTTTCTTTCCTGACTAATCCATCTTTCTTTCTTTCTGACTAATCCTTCTTTCTTTCTAACTAATCTATCTATCTTTTTTTCTTTCTTAATAATCTATCTTTCTTTTTTTCTAACTAATCTTTATTTCTAACTAATCTTTCTTTTATATAAAGCAATCTTTCTATCTTTCTAACTCATCTTTCTTTTCTTTCTAATTTTTCATTTTCTTTCCAACTATTCTTTCTTTCTAACTAATCCATCTATCAAACTTCAAACTACTTTAAACTTCCAACTATTTTAAACTTCTTCAAACTCTCTGGTCCGGCTTTTTCAAGCCAACTTAAAGTTTGTCTCATCAAACTTTTTTTCTAGTTATTATTCTTCTTACTCTAAAATTTCTATATCTAACTCCTCCTAGAGCTTTAACTCTACAAACTCCAAACTCGGGTCAGACCTACAGACTGTTCTGACTTAGTGTGCTATATCTTTTCAGCCTGATTTGACTTTCAGATTTCTTAAAAATTAATATTAAAAACCATACAAATCCCATTGACTTTCATTGTAAAAGTTCAAATTGAGCCAAGACTACGGTGGCCCAGTAGTGTACAACACAAAAACTCAAATCTAAACTCCCTGAAGCCCTAGACTCAATTAAACTACCATTCTATATGTACTAATGAACTTTAAACTTCAAACTATTTTAAACTTCTTCCAACTCTCTGGTCCGGCTTTTTCAAGCCAACTTAAAGTTTGTCTCATCAAACTTTTTTCTAGTTGCATTACTGCACTCTTCCTTCCACCATGGAATATTTTTGTTTTTCTGACCTACCATTTTTTTGTGGTATAAATAGTGTTGCAGCTTCCATTATTAGTTTTGTCATTGAATCACATAATGTTTCTACTGAATCTTCTACCAATATATCTTTATTTGTCACAATGCTTACTAAAATAATTCCAATCTGCCTTCTCATACATCAAATTCTTTTTTCAAATCATTGGAAAATGATTTACTTTCCATTCAATTCAGCCATACCATTTGATATTAATGTTAAATCTATACTTGATACCATATTCTCTGTTAAATTATACCTAGTTCCTTCTCCTGTGTTTAAACATACTAATGATCTATCATCCATGAGCTGCTCTGTTACTTCCCCATTATAATCTGTATTTTTACTCCCCCATAGCCAGTTATGAGCATTAAAATCCCCACACCATAATTCCTTTGTTTATTTCCTAATCTTTTCAAACAACGTTATTAAAATCTTCTTATATGGATTATAAAAATGATATATTACAATTGATTCTTCTCTAAAATATATTTCAACCACAGCACATTCCATATCTTTAACCTCACTTAATTCCCTATATATAGTTCCTTCTTTTACAAAAGTTACCACCCCTCCCCCTTGTTTCCCAACTCTATCCTTTCGATCAGACTTTTATCCTGGTAATACAAATTGCTGGTTTGGCTTAAGCCAACACTCTTGAACACAAATTACACTTGGTTAATGATCCAAATCTAATACAATTTTTTTTATTCTTGACCATTTGCTACAAGTCTCTTTGCGTTCCATTGCACACTTGTCACCATTAATCTACTCAGATAGCCTACATGTGAAACTTCTACTGTTGTTGCTAGTTAGAATGTCATGTATTGCGCTTACTGAAATCTCAGAGATCCCTAGGAATTCTGATACAGCTTCTAGAATTGTTTTAATCTGGGCCGATCTGCTTGGCAACATAGCAGTGACATTACAGTTTTTCTCGATTGCTTAAACACATTTCTTGAAACTATGCCTCGTATTCTCAAAACAGTAAACACAAATCCATAACGTCTCACCCAATTCCCCAAACATCCTATTTTCAGGTCAAAATGAAGCTCTACACTCAAAACCATTCACTCTTGCTGAAAAACCAAACTTTGCCCGCAGACAGGACACACAAGCCCTCAAAAATACACACACTACAACATAGTCTTACACACTGGTGCTATAAATTCAAAACAACATTTCCAAAACTGGTAAGTCATGTTGCTTGTGGTCCATCCATCTTTTTTTTTTACTCGCTTCTACTCAAGATGTGTGTGAGCATCATATGACAGTAAAAGAGCACACACAAACCTTATTCAAATATGGAATTGTATTGGAATGGTAAAGAGTGTTGGTACATGCCTCCACTCAAGGATACAATATGATGAACAAGTCTAAGAATGTTCCACATTTGGTTGAAATACCATCATTGGCCTAGAAAGATAACACTCTGTGAGTCAAGACTATAAAGGAGAAAGGATGCCCTCCCTTCACTGTCACACTCTGCAGCCACTCTGTGTGACTGTACGACTGCTGGCCTTTTCTTGCAAGAACATAAACCTCATCAAAGACAATTGGAAATGTTTGTCTCTTATTCAGTGATAGAAATCTGTTTGCCACCACACCTTCCTGAAGGTTCTGATGATGGAGGCGACGGTGAAGCGACTCAAATTTGGCTGTACTCGTTGCCCAGCCTCGCTCATAGTCATACCATGGACAAGGACATGGGCAACTAAAGTGGCTTGAATTTCATCCGAGACTGCTTGTCTTCTTGCCCTTGCCCTTCCTCCTCCTCCTCCTCCTCCTCTTCCTCCACCTATTCCTCCTCTTCCTCCACCTATTCCTCTTCCTCCTCCTCCTCCTCCTCTTCCTCTTCCTCCTCCTCCTCCTCCTCTTCCTCATCCTCTTCCTCCTCTTCCTCCACCTATTCCTCTTCATCCTCCTCCTATTCCTCTTCCTCCCCCTCCTCCTCCTCCTCTTCCTCCTCCTATTCCTCTTCCTCCTCCTCCTCCTCCTCTTCCTCCACCTCTTCCTCATCCTCTTCCTCCTCCTATTCCTCTTCCTCCTCCTCCTCTTCCTCCCCCTCCTCGACCTATTGCTTAATTTCTCTGTGGATCCATTGTTCCAAAACTCAGTAAACTGATTTTTATCTTTTATAAAAGATTGTATAACCTTTTATCTATCTATTGAAGGATCTGACTGATGTGTGTTCAATTTTGACTCTTAGTGTTTTCACCTGGGTAATTGTGTGCTAACTGAGCTGAAACTGAGCTGACTTGAGTGAACAATTTTGAATGCTAGTGCTTTCTAAATGACCACGTGGTGTAGGCAATGAGAAATGAAGGGATTTGTGTGTAGAGTTTTGCTGTGACAGTTCAACAAATCTGACTAATGTGTCAAAACAGGGGAATAGTGTTCATAGTTCAGTGAAATGGGTGTGCTTTTTGATAAATGGCATTATGGTTTTGACATTTTAGTTCAAAAGCCTGGTTATAGTGTTTAAGCAATCGAGAAAAACTGTAATAACCTTAACAATAAAGGCTAGAAAGTTCTCTTTAGTCACTATTAAAGCATTTTCTTTTATAGCACACTGTGACGCTGCATCTGAGAGTGACCCTGGATCTGAATATTACACTGCCTCTGAGAGTGACTCTGCATCTGAATATTACACTGCCTCTGAGAGTGACTCTGCATCTGAATATCACACTGCATCTGAGAGTGACGCTGACTCCGAGAGTGACTCTGACTCCGAGAGTGACTCTGACTCCGAGAGTGAGAGTGACTCTGACTCCGAGAGTGACTCTGACTCCGAGAGTGACTCTGACTCCGAGAGTGAAGCTGCCTCCGAGAGTGACGCTGCCTCCGAGAGTGACTCTGACTCCGAGAGTGACTCTGACTCTGACTCTGAGAGTGACTCCGAGAGTGACTCTGACTCCGAGAGTGACTCTGACTCCAAGAGTGACTCTGCCTCCGAGAGTGACTCTGACTCTGAGAGTGACTCTGCCTCCGAGAGTGACGCTGCCTCCGAGAGTGACTCTGACTCCGAGAGTGACTATGACTCCGAGAGTGACTCTGACTCTGAGAGTGACTCTGACTCTGAGAGTGACGCTGCCTCCGAGAGTGACTCTGACTCTGAGAGTGACTCCGAGAGTGACTCTGACTCCGAGAGTGACGCTGCCTCTGGAAGTGACTCTGACTCTGAGAGTGACTCTGACTCCGAGAGTGACGCTGCCTCCGAGAGTGACTCTGACTCTGACTCTGAGAGTGACTCTGACTCCGAGAGTGACTCTGACTCCGAGCATTTTTTTGAGACTGACACTCAACAGAGTATTACACTGCAACTGAAACTCGCACTACCTCAAGAAATGGAACTGGATCTGAGACTGACACGGCCTCTGAGACTCCCACAGCCTCAGAGACTGCCTCAGAGACTGTCACTAAAACTAC